GCCACTGGATGCTGGCTTGCAAATGGAAGGACATGATATAATAAGAAATAAAAATTCTGTTTCTTGAAAAAATAAACTAGACCAACAATTAATATATTGGTTGATACCTCTGATTTAATGTTAAATTGTTTTGTAGAGATAATTGGTAATCTGACCCTGATCAGAAACTCCTGCGGCTTGGGAGGAAGACATATACAAAATAAAGAAATGACATGAGGAAAATACTACTGAAACAGAAAAACTAAAATAATAAAGAAAGAAAGAAAGAAAGAAAGAAAGAAAGAAAGAAAGAAAGAAAGAAAGAAAGAAAGAAAGAAAGAAAGAAAGAGAAAGAAAGAAAGAAAGAAAGAAAGAAAGAAAGAAAGAAAGAAAGAAACTAGATGGACTGGATAATTTCCTAGAAAAATCATTTGCTAAACTGATCTCATCAGAAAAACAAAACTTAATTTCTTTAAAAAGTTGTTTAAAAATTTTTTGGTCTTTTTGAGACAAGGTCTCCCTGTAGCCCCAGCTGGCCTGGAACTCACTATGTAGATCAGGCTGGCCTTGAACTCACAGAGATTCACTTACCTCTGCCTCCCAATTTCTGGGATGAACGGTGTGCACCACCATGCCTGGCTTCAATTTTAATAACTGCATTTTGGTGGGATTTTTTTGTTTTATTTATTTAGTGTGGGCAAGGGTGCATACCATGTTGTAAGCATGTGGAGTTCAGAGGACAATAAGAGGTAAGCAGTTCTCTTTATCATGTGGGTCCTAGGGATCAACCACAAGTCATCAGACTTGGCAAGAAGGTGCCTTTATCCACTGACCCATCTGGCCAGCCCATGTTTTGTGTTTTGAAACAGGGTCTCACTATGTAGTCCTGAATGTCCTGGAACTTGCTATGAATTCGAAGCTGGCCTCAAACGCATGGTGATCCTCCTGCCTCAGATTCTCAAGTGCTAAGGTTACAAATCTGTGCCACCACTTCCAGCCTCAATTTCTTCAAAGCTATTTAACTATGATCCCAGAAACAAACAGCCGACTCAGGTGTTTCACAGGAGCAACTAGCAAAATATTCACAGAGAAGATTGTCCAAATGCTACATATACCATGCTACAGCACACAAAGTGAAGAAAACCCCTACTTTCTCTTCAGGTAGAGAATGTAATCTCAATACCTAAACCTGATGAGGGGAGCACAGAAACAAAGTTATAAACTAATCCCATCTATTCGTACAAAAATACTAAATAAAAATAAGGAAATACAATCCAATATGAGCTAAATAAATAATACCCTGTGTCTAATTGAGAATTGCTCCTGAGATAAAAGATTATGAAATTCATTAATGTATCATAATAATACATATGAAGGAGAAAAATCATGATTATCTCTAGCAATGTTAAAAAAGCCTTCAATAAAATTTAATTTTTTCTTAATTTTAAAAGCATTCAAATAATTATAATTTGATCCTTTCCTTGCATGGTAATACATGTGTTCATATGTATGGAGAATTGCTCCTGAGATAAAAGATTATGAAATTCATTAATGTATCATAATAATACATATGAAGGAGAAAAATCATGATTATCTCTAGCAATGTTAAAAAAGCCTTCAATAAAATTTAATTTTTTCTTAATTTTAAAAGCATTCAAATAATTATAATTTGATCCTTTCCTTGCATGGTAATACATGTGTTCATATGTATGTGTGTTTCTGTGTGTGTGTGTGTGTGTGTGTGTGTGTGTGTGTACATGACTTAATCTTAAACCTAGCATTTTAGTGGAAAACACTAGGGGAATTTCTGCCAAGACCAGAAAGCATAGATACCTATTATGTCCGCCATTATTTAGCATTAAGCTGTCGGTATCAGAAAATAGATTTAGAAACATAAATGACTTATAAGTTTAAATACTTAAAAAGCAAAAACAATTTCTATTTGCAATGATATGATAGTAAGCCAGAAACCCCTACAGAGTTGACAAAAAGTTTCTTAATAAAAATTTCAGAAAGTTAATATAGAGTATGCTGCAAATTGCAGCACTCATCTATTATTTCTTACAATTCAGTGGCTCAGATCAGCAGGAGCCTATTAGAAATGCAGGCTCTAGCCACACCCCGAGTGTATGGAATCAATTTCTACATTTTGACAAGAGTTCTCAAACATTAATGATGGAGAAGCAGTGGTCTAGGATTTCCTCTCTCACCTGTTAGGCAGTTGCCAGGACACCTTAGCTGGGAGGCCTTTCCTTTAAACCATGTGGCTGGCTTAGGCTTCTTCCATGGAATCTCAGAAAATCAAAGAGCAGCAAGAGGCCAATCCCCTCAGTGGAACATGTTCTACACCTCTGTTTCTTCCTGTTTATTACTGTCCTTCTTTTCGTCCATTTTCTGTTGCTGTAACAGACTGCCTAAGATAGGGCAATCATAAATACAAGTTGTTCCTTTTTCTTATATATCTGGAATCTGGAAACTTCCAAAAGTCTCTTCTTGGCTTCTGAGGGATGCCATATACTGCTCTATACATACCAAAAATGCCAAAAAGCAAGGAGTCAGACACACAGAAAAGAGGAGTATTGAGGCCAAAGAACTGATATACTTTATAACAATCCATTCTTAATATAACTAATCTGTCCTGTGAAACTAAGAACTCATTCCTAAAAATATTTAAAACTCTTTTTTAACTGTGTTATTAGGAATTGACCCCAGGGCCTTGTGCATGCTAAAAAAAAGTCACTCTACTACTAAGCTATATCTCCATTTCTAATGACTTAATCAACTTTTAAAGTCCCCACCATCTCAACACTGCCACATTAGCAACCAAATTTCAACACAGGTTTGGGTAGGGACAGACTGCATTTAAACCATAGGAGTTATTCTAAAATTGGTATGGGAAAGCAAGGCCAAGGGGACAGATGAAGGAGGAAATTTTTTTTTTTTGTATTTCACCGTCTACCACACTCTTCACTACTGGACTTGAGGCATTTGGAAAGAAACACCAGGAATCATTTATATTCACCTTGGCCACATCCTTCTCCCAAGTGAGCCCAGAGCCACCTTATTTGCTTAAAATCAGAGACAAGAAAAGTAAAAACATGAAGAAAGCTATGAATTTATATTTCAAAATAATATTCTTGCTGAGAAGGAGGAGTACACAAAGTGGATACACGTGTATCTGCTTGTGGACAGTGAGGAGGTCCAACATGATTTCTTTCTGCCTACAAAGTAGGAGGTAAGTTCACAGTTGAGAAAGGGGTGTAGACAGGTGTCCTTGTTTGGAGAAGAGCAGAGAATTAGAAATAGTCATGGTAGCTTGGGACTGGGATTTGATGTGAAGAGTATGGGGTTCCAGAGACCATCTGAGGTCAAGCCGTTGAGTTTCTCTGGATGCCAATGTGTCCTATGTAGAAACTTTTTGCAGTAGTGTTTGTGGGTCCAGTAAAAGCCAAAAGTGGGGTCTGGAGGAGAAGGATATTGCTAGATGAGTGATGAAATGACTGAGGGAGTTTAGTTTATTGGCAGGAATGTTCTTAGATGACTCAGTGAGTAAAAATGCCTGTCCCTGAGCCTGATAATCTGTTCAATACCCTCGACCCACATGATGGAAGGAGAGCACCCGCTGCTGCAAGTTATCATCTGACCTCCACATGCACATAGTATACACACACAAATTAACAAATGTAATAAAAAACAAGGAAAGAAAAGGAATGTCCAGAATCTTTTATCTGAACATGAAAATTTGAAAATAGCTGGGAAGCACGGACAGAAACAGTGCTGAGTCAGTGGTTTTACAAGTGGGGCAAAAGAGCTTTTCAGATGTTCTTATTTTTCCAAATTTTTCATCTACCATTTTATATCTGGGCATCCATGCTAAGTGACCCCCTCCTGGATAGCATACGCTTTGTTGGCAAGCCCAAATAAATATCTTTATTCCCCAAACTGTAGCTTAGAATGCCTTGTATTGGCTTTGTTGGTCAGGTGTAAGGACAGCATGGACCTGAGAGCTGAGAGTGCGTGTGTGCGTGTGTGTGTGTGTGTGTGTGTGTGTGTGTGTGTGTGTGTGTGTGTAACTCCCCCTCTGTCTCTCCCTCTCTCCACAGTCTCACTATGTAGCCCTGGCTGCCCTGGAACTCCCAGTGTGGACCAGACTGGCCTCAGTCTCACAAAGCTCCACCTGCCTTTGCTTCTGGAGTGCTGGGGTTAAAGGGGTGACCAACACACCTGAAGGTTACATTCTCTTTAAGTGTCCTTTTAAACGCCCATTTTCTGGGCGAATTCAGCATTCTATCACTCTGGTTTTGCAAATATCTTTGTGCATGTGTGCTTAATTGCTGTAGTAACAACCTTCAAGTCTCACAACTCTAGGAGGTACATGAGCACTGAAAATCCATATATTTTACAAATGAGTAAAACTGAGACCTGGTAAGATGTGCAAGGCCTCCTCCAGGTAGTACAATCGCAAGGAACAGAATTCTTAGAATTTCACAAAGGCTAGATCTTAACCATTAAATGTGTTCGTTTGTGTGACTCCAGCAATGTCTCCCAAATCCCCTACACCACCAGGCAATGCACAGTCCAAATCGTTTATCTTCGTGGAGTGCTCCATCCAGAATACGGTAATACCCACTCCAGGACTGATGAGGGCGCTGGATGTAGATCATGGAGTGTGACTATCTGCCTAGAACAGAGATGGCAAGGCAGGGGTCATAAAACAGAAAGGACAGTGGAGTTCTCCGGGTGGGGTCCAGTCACTGGGTACAGTCTGTACACACGAGGCCCTCCCTTGCCTGAAGTCAGTTAACGGAGACTTGACTTCATTTTGAAGGAGTTGCATAAAGGTAGACTCCTGTTTGAAGCGCCCCAGAGGAGGCCATCGCCGGCGGCTGCAGCCCCGCCCAGTTCTGGTGGTGCAGTGGGCGAACTTGGAGGGTAGGAAAGGCGGGGCTGTGGGCGGCGCCGGCAGCTGCCGAACCCGCCAATGAGTGCTCTCTAGAGGCTGAGTCAAGAAGAGAGGTGCCGTCACTCTAGCACCACCGCCTTCCAAGTTCCCCCCTTGTGGATGCACAGCCCGGTCGCTCCGCTCCTCCCAGCTCCAAGGGACCAGAAGCGGCCAGAAAAGCAGACTCTGGGCGGGAGCCAGGGGAAAGGACGGCGCGGCGCCTGGCCTGCCCCGGGGAGTTGGTGAACGATGAATGGCCGGCGGCGGCGGCGCCGAGAGTACTGCAAGTTTGCGCTGCTCTTGGTGCTGTACACGTTGATGCTGCTGCTCGTCCCCTCGGTCCTGGACAGCGGCAGCGACCAGGACAAGGGCGTCGGGCACTGCCCCGGCCTGCAGCGCAGCCTGGGAGTGTGGAGCCTGGAGGCGGCGGCGGCTGAAGAACGCGAACAGGGCGCCGAGGCGCGCCCCCCGGGTGGATGGGGCGCGGGCGGGTCCCTGGGGTCCCCAGGCAACCTCAGCACGGTCGGAGAGGTGGGGACCCACGAGAAGCAACACATCTACGTGCATGCCACCTGGCGCACCGGCTCCTCCTTCCTGGGCGAACTGTTCAACCAGCACCCGGACGTTTTCTACTTGTATGAGCCCATGTGGCATGTGTGGCAGGCGCTGTATCCAGGAGACGCGGAGAGCTTGCAAGGAGCGCTGCGCGACATGCTGCGTTCGCTCTTTCGCTGTGACTTCTCGGTGCTGCGGCTGTACGCGCCGTCCAGGGACTTGGCCGCGCGAGCCCCGGACTCAACCAACCTCACCACCGCCACCCTTTTCCGCTGGCGGACCAACAAGGTCATCTGCTCACCGCCGCTGTGCCCCGCTGCGCCCCGCGCCCGCACCGAGGTGGGCCTCGTCGAGGACACTGCCTGTGAGCGCAGCTGCCCTCCGGTGCCGCTCCGAGCCCTGGAGGCAGAGTGCCGCAAGTACCCGGTGGTGGTCATCAAGGACGTGCGCCTGCTCGACCTGGGCGTGCTAGTGCCCCTGCTGCGTGACCCAGGCCTCAACCTGAAGGTGGTGCAGCTTTTCCGAGACCCGCGGGCCGTGCACAACTCGCGCCTCAAGTCCAGGCAGGGGCTGCTGCGCGAGAGCATTCAGGTGCTGCGCACCCGCCAGAGAAGCGAACGCTTCCACCGCGTGCTACTGGCGCACGGCGTCGCCGCCCGTCCCGGAGGCCAGGCCCGTGCGATACCCTCAGTGCCTCGCACTGATTTCTTCCTGACCAGTGCTCTCGAGGTGATCTGCGAGGCCTGGCTGCGCGATCTGCTTTTCGCTCGCGGTGCGCCCACCTGGCTGCGGCGCCGCTACCTGCGGCTGCGCTATGAAGACCTGGTGTGGCAGCCCCAAGCCCAGCTGAGCCGTCTGCTGCGCTTCGCCGGGCTGCGGGCGGTGGCGGCTCTGGATGCCTTTGCACTCAACATGACGCGGGGAGCAGCCTATGGCACCGATCGGCCTTTCCACCTGTCGGCACGCGACGCCCGCGAGGCGGTGCACGCATGGCGTGAGCGCCTGAGCAGAGAGCAGGTGCGCCACGTGGAGGCCGCCTGCGCCCCAGCAATGCGACTGCTGGCCTACCCTCGCAGCGGAGATGAGGGCAACCTGGAGGCCGCCAGGGAAAGGGAGATACCACTGGAGATGAAGGCCAAGGCAGCCATGTAGTATCTCAACCCCCTGCTCCAGCCCTGGGGTGGATCCCGGTAAGGTGGTCCTGGGCAGAGGAGGGTGTAAGGAAGGGTGTTGCGGGAGGGAGTCTGAAACAGCTCATGAGTTTTGGAGTAGATAAGGTAACAGTGCTTTCTTGAATGGAAAGCTGTCAGACCAGGTCCCAGAAAGCCCTGTTGATAGAATTGAAGAGATTGATTGGGTTTGCTAACCTAGCCACCTTCCTTCTCAGAAGAGGACCTTGAAACGAAAGAGAATGTGTAATTGTAGTTGAAGCAGCATCCAGATCTCTGCACTCCCCATCTGCTTTATGCAGTATAAGACATCAGAGGTCCGAGGACAACAGAGAAACTCTGAAACATCCTAATGGAACTTGACAAGGGGAAACAGTACGAGGTAGTATAGTATTTAGGGAACTCTTCGAGACCGGTAGTTATGAAATTGATGCCCATTTGTCTTGTGGGGAAGCTTTTTGCCATGTGCTGCCAGAGAAAACCAAAAAGTCAAGGTGCAGTGGAAGTTATGGGTTCTTGGCCCGTGCTTATCATTAATTTCTCTTTTGATAGTTCTTCAGTCTCCCGCTCAGGCTCCAGAGCTTTCCTCAGTACTAAGTACGCAGGCACAGCCAGGGAGCTCTTGCAACAGTTTTGTGCACATTTCTGTGTCAGAAATTTCTTTCTTGGCTGATGCGTGCACCCCTCCCTTCCCCCTTTCTCTTTCCTTCCCCTCCTCTTCTCCTCCCCCCTCTTCACCGTCCCGGTCCTCCCCCAACCACTCCCGCTCTGCGTCAGCCACTTACTGCTGTTTGCAGGATATTTGACCATATCCCGTTAACACCAGGTCACAAAAGCTGCCTGGTCAGCTTCCTCTAGTAGTCCAAGACCTCTGGAGTGGTTTCCCCCACTCCATTCCATCGTCGTGATAGATTGGGGCAGGGGGCGGGGGGGCGGAGCTTAGATTGCCTATAACAATTTAACAATTTATGAAAAGTCACCCCGTCTTTTGTTTTCCTTTTCTGTAAAGTGTATATGTATAGATGCTAAAATGGCCTTGAACACTCTCCAAATGTTTCCAGTGTTGGGTCAACAGATGGCATGTAACATTGTTATGCATGATGCTGACCATCGGAGTCTAGTTGGTGGCATGGGAACGCATTTCCAAAACATTGTGAGTTGGAAGGGTGCCTGTTACTTTCTGCTAGGTATAGACCAGAGGAGAAGGAAAAGCAGTGTAGGGAGGACGGAAGTGACTTAAGTTTCCATTCATTATTTTATAGTGTAATTCAGCATTCCCCTGGGATGGGCTGGAGGGACAAAGGTTGAAGATGTTAATGAAGATGGATTTTTCGGTTAATAGAGCTAGGGTTTCAGAGTGATTCTGGAAGCTAGCCAACTGACTTTTTTTCTGCTCTCAGCAATCAAGCCAGTTTCTATAATTGCTAGGAAGTCTGTGTTCTTTCCTGATTTCCAGAGTGAAGGAAGGTAAGGCACAGGGCGACTCCTCACGTCTTAACAAAAACATCCTTTCATCTGTATTTACAGATGGAACATAATGGTCCCTAACTCTCCTTCACAGACTTCAGGAACCCCCCCCCCGCCCCAGGCAAAGCTGCAACATTTTATGGTTTTAAGATTGGAGAATCTCCTAGAATCGTTTGCTCTACTTCCTCCCCCAAATTTGTTCTGATACTTACTGAATGCTGATTGGGGCAGGATAATGGAGCAGAGAGTAGAGGACAAAGACTTTACCCTTTAGGAAGTGCAAGTCTGTGAATGACAGTGACTGTGGGCAAAGACCCTAGTGTTGCTGTTTGAAAGGGGCTTCCTGCTGATGGGGGCTTCTTCCTGATAGGGGCTTTTCTAGCAGGGCTGCTGAGGAAATTTTAAGTTCTTGTAGACTTTGGGAACTGACCCTGTCCTTTCACATTCGACACTTAATATCAATCTGTGGATTTATTGAAATGCTTGTATTCTCAGTTCCTAGGAAGATAATCTGGTCATAAAAATCTTTCTTAGAACCCTTAAACTACTAGCTGTCTTCCTTCTCACTGGCTAGAGCTGGCTCATATGATCTGCCCTAGGCCAATAACCGGCATAAGGGAATAAGAACATCCTGAATGGCCCAGAGCAGCAGTTCTCAGTCCCTGCTGACAATTACAGTAGACTTTAATTTTTGGTGAGTATGTTTCTAAGACCCTCAGATGGTACTATATTCTATATATACTGTACTTTCCTCTATACAGACCTATGAGAAAATTTAATTTATAAATTAGTCACAGTAATATATTAACCACAATAATAAAATCAAACAATTATAATAATGTATTATAGTAAAAATTCCACCCATGTAGTGTTTCTCGGCTGCCATAGGGCAGGTAGTGTATACAGTGTGGATTGGTGTGGATATGCTAGACAAAGGGAACCAGTTTATCAGTTTATCCTGCTTCTCAGAGCAGCAATGTAAAGACTATAAATAATTTATGCAACTTTGTATTAATGTACCTGGTGTGGTTAACAGTATGTAACTGGAGCCTGAGAAAGGAAGACCATATAGGTAGGAGAGATATGCATCCAAATGAAGCACTTTTAAAAATGCCAATGCCTGAGCTCCAGCTCAGAAAAAAATTTTTTTGCCTTGGTGTTGTAGATGGAACCTATGGCCTGACATATGCTATGTAGGTGCTCTACCATCCTGCTTTACCCCTAGACCAGGAGATTCTGAGTCAATCTGTCTAAGAAGAGGTCCTTAGACCCAAGCTCTGGGGTCTCAAAGCTCCCCAGGTGACTCTACTATGCAGCCTAAACTGCAAACCACTGCTTGGATCAATGATTCATCCCCTGGGCCAGGTCACTGGCATGGAGCAAGATCAGAATGGGGAATCAAGGGCTGTTAATGAACAGCAAACTCAGCCACAGTGAGTTATGGGAAAGGGAAATTACACACTGGCCATTTATCACCTTCACATGCTTTCAGATGTGTTGTTGCCTGTAGCTGCTCATCTAAGAGCACATCCTTGCACAAGCACTGTTCACTCTTGTTCTGAGCAGACTGATGTACTGTCCTGTCTTTTTCAGCATGCCTCCTTTAACATCTATCCTTTGTAGAATCCCGGACTTCATTCCTATTGCTCCCCTATGTTTCTCCCAGAAATTGATTTTTTTTTTCTCTCTCTCTCTCTCTCTCTCTCTCTCTCTCTCTCTCTCTCTCTCTCTCTCTCCGTGTGTGTATATGTGTGTGTATGTGTGTGTATGTGTGTGCATGCAAGTTCTGGAGATGGACCTAGGGCCTCAAGCATGCTGAGCATCTGTTCTACCACTGATCTATATCCCTAATGCCCTAAGGCATTTAAGACTCTTTAGTCTTTGTCCTTGACAAGATTTATGCCCCCTTTGAAAGAAACTAGGGACTGAGGCAGGTGTCTTGTAGATTAAGCTCTAACAACAAGGAAACTAACTCTCGGGAAATCATTCTAAATAGAAAAAGAAATGTCCAGCCACCACCATTTTTGAAGTCATTCCATTTAACTCAGTAGACTGAGCCCCAATGTCCTATGTAGGATTACATATAATTATCACTCTGAAAAGACCATCTGTGACTTAAATGCAGACTGCTAAAGAACAGGCATTGTTAAAACACTGCTTCTATGTAGAATTTTTCATTTAGCAAAATCTGTTCAGCCTCACAGTAGCCTATTAAGCTGGGTATTGTGAATCAGAGGCCTGGAAATTAAGATGGTGGTAGAGGTGGTGATGGTGATATGCATATTTGTGTGATTATGCAAACACAGATAGATTGTAGTTATGTGCATGTGCACAGATGAGTACATATGTGAGCAGCAGGGCTTCAGTAGCACATGAACGATTTTTAATAAAACATGTCCCTTTAGTAAAACATTGCCCTTGTGAGAGTCATGCTTACTTTTGATTTGAACGTTCTCTGAGCTCCTGCTTGGAACTGCCTTCTTTGGCAAGACTCCTCAGTTGATGGTGGGTTTGGTGCTTAGTGAGGCAGGGGAGGCCCTTAAAAGAATGATGTAGGAAAACAGTATCAATGGTTATTCATTTTTTTTTCCACTAGGACACAGGAACTTAGGCCTCAGGACCTGGGTCTTTTGGATAGTACTTGCTTAAGTATAAGAAAAGGTTAAGGGCTTGGGATGTTGCTCAGTGGTAGAGCAATGAAATATAGCAAAAGACTAGAACAACATAATTATCCTACAGTATGGCCTTAGGAACTGGACAAATAAGTTCAATACATTCTTACAATGAAACACAATATAGGCACCAAAAAGGAAATGACATGGAAAGATTACCAAAGCATTAATAATTTAAAATTGAACTTATTAAATTTTGTATAATTTAAATAATAATTTATTTAAAAATATTTTAAAATTAATTTTTAAAATTAAATGTGAAAAAAGCAGAACAGTAAATACAGTTCACTCCTACTTATGCGTTAAAATGCCAATGTATTTGAATTTGCACAAAGTATTTTTAGATATATATATATATATATCACAAGAAATGCAGTGATTATTCTAGGAATGGAGACTGAAGGATGTTTTGTACCCTCTTGCATGGTTAAAGGTTAAAGTCTTTTTCTTTACCAGCTGCCTACATCATTTCTACAAATTTTAAAGACATCAGTTTAGAAACAAAGATCACTTGTTTTAATCCTCTGGGTGTGTTATCTTTGACACTTTACCTAAGCTCTCTGAACTTGTTTCACCACGCCCAAATGCACCTCACACCCTACGGAGCAGAGATGAAGACCGAGTCAACGTGTATCCAGCAAGGAACACTGCACAAACAGGCACTTAATAAATGTCACTTTCCTTTGGCACCAAGGAACCTTAGAAATCTTTATTCCACCCCACCCTCCACATGTTAGGGATGGAACACAAGGCCTTGTTCAAGCTAGGCAAGTCGTCTATCACTGTACCACGCTCCTAGCCCCTTACAGTTTGGGAAACAGGACTCAGGGGGTTTAATAAAAGGTTTATTTTTAGTCTAGGCAGAGATTTTTTTCTCATGAA